TACTGCCATAGAAGTGTAAACACACAACAGATTATATGGTATTTAAAGAACCCAATTCTTACCCTGTTCCCGCCCCCAGGATTTTTTTTGGATCCCATGAAAATCCTTACAATGGGATCAATAAATAAGATCATGATAAATGGTGGCGTGATTGAAGCTCCATTCTTCTTGGACCACCAATCAAAGCCCAGAGAAGCAGCAGTCAAGAAATCAAATGATGCATTGCATTGAGTAAGTCTCCTGGTGGTGGTGGTTATGTGCCGTGGAGTCATAGTGACACTGTACATGGTTTCCGAGGCTGTAAATCTTTACTGGAGCAGAAAGCCTCATCGTTCTTCTGCAGAAGAGCTGGTATTTTCGAACTGTTGACCTTGCGGTTCCCAGACTGATTTGTAACCAGCTCTGGTAGCATAGTGGTTAGGAATCGGGCTGTGAGCCTCAAGGTAAACAGTTAGAAACTACCAGCGGTTCCGCGGGAGAAAGATGAGGCAGTCTGCTCCTGTAAAGATTTACAGCCTCGGAAACCCTGTGTAGGGTCGCTATGAGTTGGAACCGACTCCATGGCACTTAACAACAACAATGCTACCATAGCTCCTGCAGAGATGTCACTTTAATGACTAAATTCACCTGCCCCAAGCCATGCTTTTTTCATTCCCCTCATATGCATTTGAAAGGTGGACAAAGGGAAGACTATATAGAATTGGTGAGTTGTGTTGACAAAGAACACTGACTATACCACGAATGTCCAGAAGAATAAAGAAATTTCTGTTGGAGGAAGTACAGGCAGAATGCTCCTTAAAAGCAAGAATGGAGAGACTGATTGCTGGAGAAGGACATTATAGTTGATAAAATTATAGGTCCATGGAAAAGAGGAATATCCTCAATGAAATGGACTCATATGGCTGCAACAGTAATGGCTGAAACACAGCCAAGGAGTGTGAGGAAGTGCAGATCTGGGCCACGTTTTGTTTTGTTACACTAAGTTAGGAGTTTATCCAGCAGCACCTGACAACAGAGTATTTCTTTTGGACCAGACAGTTGAGAAGTATGAATTTAATTCCATCAATTCACAGCTAAGGAAATACAGTCCAGAATGTTGCCTAAAATCATACAGTTCATCTCAAGCTCAGAAGGCCAGCACTTTTGCCATGCTGGCCTAAATATCCAGAAAGAAACATCTCACTATAGGCACTAGTGTGGTGCTGTAGGATCAGCACTGGACTGCAAACCACAAGGTCAAGGTCGGCAGTTCAACCCCACCAGTTGCTGCTCAGAAACCCTATACAGGGTCACTATGAGTTGGAACCAATTCCAAGGCACTTAACAACTTGACAATAGAGATAATAATGATAATTATATCAGGATGCACACAAAATAAAAGGCTGGTGTTGAAGGAAAATATTGAAAGGGCCATGGGCTGCCAAAAGAACCAACAAATCTGTGTTGGAAGAAGTGCATCCAGAGTGCTCACTGAAGGCCAGGATGGCCAAACTTTGTCTTTCATACTTCGGACATCCTCTCGCTGGAGAAGGATAGCATGTTTGGTAAGGTAGAGGGTCAGAGAAAAAGAGGGAGACCCCCAGCGAGATGGTTTGGCAAAATGGCAGCATCAGTGGGTTCAAGTGTGGCTGCAATTGTGAGGTTGACCCAGGACCAGGCAGTGTTTCATTCTGTTTTGCATAAGATCGCTATGAGTCAATACCAACTCAATGACACCTAACAACAACAACAACATGTTCTGGCTCCAGGCCTATTAGTCATTGCTCTCAGAACTTGGATAATAGAACAAAGGCAGAGCTTAGATAGAGAAAATCTTTGAATTCTTATGTTCTTCCTAGTTAGTTTGTATGGCTTTGAAATGTGTGTTTACAAAAACAAAGTTAAGGAAAAAACAGAGTTCTTATACTTATCTGATATAATATATACTTTGCTAGTAAATTATTCATTTAATTAGGAATGATTCTTATTAATTTGGGCTATTTTATTTTGCCAGAATTTTAATTGAGACAACCACATGCTGGCAAAACAGCATAAGCTGATTTTAATCATAAAACTAATATAATGCACATCCCAATACAGCCAGGAAACCCTGTTTTTGAAAATACAAGGCAAATTCTGATGTTGGAATTCTTACTTGTTTTAATAGATATTAATTATTTTATATGTATTTATTTTTAACATAGTAATCCCATGAGGATAGGCTCTTTTCATTTCTGTATTCCTCCATGCTAAGCTCATTGTCAAGAACCTAAATATCTGGAGGATGACTGAGTGGAAAAAGGAGAAAACATTCTAGAATACTAGACTTTCTGGATTTTGAAATATATTCTGAATCAAGTCCCACAGTGCTTATGCTTGTAGATAGTAAGAGAAATTCAAGTGGGTGAAATTGTACACTTATTTTATTACTTTTATTATTCTGAATTAATGAGTTTAAGGTTCATGACCAAAATAATTCCTTTTAATTTGGAATGCTTTTTATTAATTTTGTCCAAGCAAAATTAAATGCATGAAAACTAAAGAAACAAACATCTAAGGTGATTGATTTATTCTGGTTCCTGGATTACAATCTTCATGAAAAGATAGACCTTCCTTCATCTCTAGAATAACCCCAATGTTAACTTTGGGGCTCTATGAAGGTACCAAGCTCATGGAGTCTGTTTCACAGATCAAATGCTGGTTAAAATGCAAATCTGAGAGGCCATAAAGGCCATGATCACAGGAATCCAGGAGAGATCCCACTGGTTTAGGGCTGCTCCCACTGCTATTTCTGCTGGGCCTTAAAGTGATGAGCAAAGGTGCAGTATTCTAAGTGAGCACGTTTCCTTGGGGACAAAGATTGTCCCAGAAAAATCATGAAGTAGGCAAACTCCCCAGGGCTTTAGTAGAGTCTTTTAAAAAGTGTAAACCAGTTGCCATTTAGTCGATTCTGATTCTAGGCAACCCCACGTGTATCAGAATAGAAATGTGCTCTATAGAGTTTTCAGTGACTGATTTTTGGGATGTGGAACAGGTTTTTTTCAAAGCCACTTTTGGATGGATTCAGACCTACCACTTTTTGGTTAGTAGTCTAACATGTTAACCATTTGTACTACCAAGGGAATTCTTTTAACATTAAGGTGGTTGAGATACCAGAACTCTAAGATGCCTTCACTTTTACATACTATGACGTATCTATTTTACAGGGCTGTTGGAAGTGTTCATTCATTCAGGGTGCTTGGTAGAGGGGCCTGGCACAGAGTAAGCCTGCCATAAAAGGAGGCAGGGTTAATGATGATAATGATGATGGTAATGGTTGGCCAGCATTCCCATTGGACACTTTACTTCTATGCATTTTCCCTGTACCACTTCAAAAGCAAAGTCAAAATAAACTATTATGGTCTCCAAACTGCGAGGATTAATTTGAGACCCTTCCCTTATAAACCAGAAACCTGGTGTAACTTTATCAAATCTCAGGCAACACCGATTAACAGCCAATTGGGCCATGGGTGGATCTTATTGGATCTACATCACAAAGACACAGGTACCGCTCACATGTGGGTTAACGCTCATTGGAAGGCAAAGTTGGTGTGGACTGCAAGGTCAGCGGTTTAAACTTACCAGGCGCGCCTCAGAAACTCTATACAGGGTTGCTATGGGTCAGAACTGAGTCAACAGCACTTATCAACAATAACATGCTCTGGTACAATAATGGTTATGTCCTGGGCTGCTAACTGGGAGGTCAGCAGTTTGAATTTACCAGATGCTTCATGGGAGAAAGATGAGACTTTCTGCTCTCGTAAAGATTTACCGCCTCGGAAACCATATACAGGGTTGCTATGAGTCGGAACCAACTCGGCAGTTCACCACCACCACCACCATCACGCTGTCACTATGCCTTCTGCACAAGACATTAACTAGCCTTAGATTCTTTTATTTTCTATCAAGATTGAAAACAACCCCATCATTCACTCAGAGGGAAAGGCAAACTGCATTCATCAGACTCCAATACCAATACTAATTGTTGATCAATATCAAAGGCTTTAAAAAATATGAAAAACTGGTTGGTCCTAGTGTCTAAGAACTTGTTGTTGTTAAGTGCTGTTGAGTCGGTTCCGACCCATAGAGACCCTAGATAGGGTTTCCAAGGAGCGACTGATGAGCTCTAACCAGTTGAACCAACTTTGCAGTATAATGCTTTAACCCACAACGCCACACCAGAACTCCAAGAATCTGTTTTGCACAGTTCATATATCACAAACCCAAAGGGCTCAGTTGTTTGTTGTAAAGCACAAAAAGCTAGATATCAGGAGAGTCTACTCACTTCAGCATTATCACTACCTACTAGTAAGGAGCTCTGGTAGCGTAGTGGTTACGAATTGGGATGCTTACCTCAGGGTCAGCAGTTTGAAACTACCAGCTGTTCCACGGGAGAAAGATAAGACTCTCTGCTCCCGTAAAGATTTACAGCCTCGGAAACCCTGTACAGGGTCGCTATGAATCGGAACCCTTTCCACGGCACATAACTACCACCACCTGATAGGGTGGACCAGTCTCAGTCCCCACATCTGTAAAGTAAGGGAAGAGAAACACTCACTAGTAACCACTCAAGGGTCTGTGGGGGTAAATACACTGAGAATGAGTGATGCTCAAAAGGTATACAGAGGAGTGTCCCCATTTATTTGAAGGTGGGTCAAAATAGCTTCAATACTAAACTCATTTAATTAAAATAAATTGCACCAGAAACATAGAGGGATTAAGAAGTATCATTAAAGCAAAGATGGGGTATTAGAATGTAAATCTAGTTGGACAATAGGAAGATGATGCTTAAAAAGAAGAAGTTTTTATCAGCTCACATTTTTAAGATGAACTGGATTGGATTGAATTGAAGACTTAAAAAATCTGCTCAAAAGTATGCTACATTGCACAAACTTTTTTTTTTAATGTATTCATGCTTTCTTATTTATTAGCTGACATAGTTAGGGTTTGTTCTTGTTTTGTTGTTTTTATTATAGATCCGTTTTACTATCAGCAACCCAAAATACAAGGTTGTGTGGTCCAGTTTCTTTAGAGCTCTTAGCATTTACAAGTGTTGAGCGCTTGCTTTTGCAACGCCGTTCTGATTGGCAGAGCCAATGTCAGTGACATCAACCAACTTACTTTTGATTGGAGGGCTGGTTGCTGGGTCTGTAGCGTGTGCAGGAAGTCACTTAACTATTTGCGATCTTGTAAACCCGAAACCGAAGTTCTTTTGTCAGAGGAACTAGCGCAACTGATTAGAGGATAAGTGTCTCAAAACTCTGCAAGTTGGAATGTGAACCTGGAGGCCCTGCCGGGCTTCCGGAAAGAGCTGCACTCACGGAGATGAGCGGCTTCTCACTTCCAGCATTCCGGCTATTACCCTTTTAAAAGTCGGCGTTCAAGGCTGTAGGGGTAGCACGAGGCATCGGAACGGAACAGTTGGATTGGCCGCCGCCTCAGTTCTAGACGCACCTCTCCACCGAAAGGCCGTTCTGACTGGCAGGGGGAGAAAGTAAACAGAGTTGAATCACCCTCCCCACTGGCCAATTGGAGGGGGTTTGGATTGTGACGTGATGGGATTCTGCGAAATTGTTACTGAGCAAGAGAATGCCGGAACGGTGCGGACCGGCAGGCACGGGGGCTCAGCCGTCAGTGGACTAGGGGAAAAGTGTCTTTTAGAGCTGGCTATCAATCCGGCCCTTCCCACCCGCGTCAGGGTGGTCGAGTGAATGCATTAGGGCTTTGGCTCGACGGAGAGGCTGCCGAGGGCGTGTGCCTTTCTTGCAGTTTCCACTCCCAACGCCTCGGGGGCGTTTTCAGTCGAATAAACTTGCGACCGCCACGTGTGGCATCTTTCCAAGGGAGCCGGCTCGGAGGGGCTGGCGCGCCCGTCAGGGGGATCGCGCCCGGCGCAGGGCAGGGGCGGCCGTGAGAGCCGGCAGCGCGGCGGAGCCGGGGGCCGTGGATGCTGCGTGCGGAGGCGCTGCCGGTTACGTAAAGATGAGGGGCTGAGGTCGCTTCGGCGCTCCTGCGAGTCGGAAGCGCCCCGCGCCCCCGCCCCCTTGGCCACCGCGCCGCGCCGCGCAGCGCTTGTCGTCCGAGGCGAGGGCAGGGCAAGCCGAACCTCCGCAGCCACAGCGAAGTTTGGCCGCGCCGCCTGGGCTGCTGTCGCCCGCACCATGTCCGCAGCCGCCTACATGGACTTCGTGGCTGCTCAGTGTCTGGTTTCCATTTCGAACCGCGCTGCGGTGCCGGAGCATGGGGGCGCTCCGGACGCCGAGCGACTACGACTACCTGAGCGTGAGGTGACCAAGGAGCACGGTGACCCGGGGGACACCTGGAAGGATTACTGCACGCTGGTCACCATCGCCAAGAGCTTGTTGGACCTGAACAAGTACCGACCCATCCAGACCCCCTCGGTCTGCAGCGACAGTCTGGAGAGTCCCGATGAGGATATAGGATCCGACAGCGACGTGACCACCGAATCTGGGTCGAGTCCTTCCCACAGCCCGGAGGAGAGACAGGATCCTGGCCGCGCGCCCAGCCCGCTCTCCCTCCTCCACCCTGGAATGGCTGCGAAGGGGAAACACGCCTCCGAAAAGAGGCACAAGTGCCCCTACAGTGGCTGTGGGAAAGTCTATGGAAAATCTTCCCATCTCAAAGCCCATTACAGAGTGCATACAGGTTAGCGGTGTCTCCCTTTCCCACCGAGGTCTGGGGTTAACCTCTGGTGGGACAAGTGTCCCTGGGCGTTAAGGACACTGCACTCGGCCTGAAGGGTGCTAGCGTTTTGGATGAGATGCTCTTTAACTCTTTAAATAATTTAACCGTGGAGAGACAAAACGCTCACTCGCTTCTTAATTATATCCAGCCCCTAGAAGCAACGGAGAGCATTACACTGGGGGGTGGGGGGTGGGGGCCAACGAGAGCTCAGTGCCAGCCCCATTGCGTGGCATCGCGGGGAGTGGTGCCGCCCCTTCCCTGCCCCGCCCCCAGGACTCCTGCACCCCGAGACTTTGGGGCCACCCCACCTGGGAAGACGTTTGCAAGGGGGGTGGCAGATGGCGTCTATGTTATTCAAATCCCCGATGGGATTGCAGGGAAGTGTCCAACCTGGGAAGAAAGTGGCACACTTTACTGAGATCCTTTTAGGGATGACTAGGTATTCATTTATCTGTATTCTTGCTACTTTTCCGGGCTTGCCAAGGTGGTTTTAAATTTGGCCAAAAGTCCCTAGAGGTTTAAAATAACAGTCTTTCAGATATCAGAGGAGTTCGGTCTGGTAAAGCTTGGTGGGTTAACATCACGACTAGTTGGCATTCCTTAGTGAGATTTCAAAGATGGGACTGAGGTCTCTCTCACCTTCCACCTCGGAATGGAGCAGTTAGCGCGGAGGTGTGGTCCTTGCCGGAGGTCAAGGCTCTGTAATGCATGTGGGGACCCGACCGACCTGGACTTTCGGGATGCTGCGTGGAACTGGCGCTCCCAGGGGAGCGCTTCAGGCAGGGCTGGACAAATGAATGTGGCTAAGAAAACATCTGCAGTATCAAAATGGGCTTTGTAGACTTTCGGGGATTTTAATGAACCAATTCTTTTGGTTCTGTTTAACATACCCAGAAAAAAAGTGGGGAAACGATCAGACTTGAACCTGTGAGTAAAGTTTCACCATCCTTAGGTTTTTTTACAACTGCTATTCTGATAACGTTTAGGGCGGGGTTTGGTCATCTCAGAATCACTCCCTTTTTCTTTTGCCCTATGACACTGTTTAAGAGCAGGTGGTTGGCGTTCCTTGGAAAAGTACGAATTTTTGTTGTTGTTGTTGTTTGTTTCTGTTACGAAGAGGCCATTGGTCTGTGATTTAAAAATAATTGGTTTTTGGTTTACTTTTCCTAAGAAAGGCCGCATAACTTAATCTCTTCGGTTTTCGATCCTTTTCTGGTGGAGGTGGCTGCTGGCACAGGGATGAAGCTGAATTTTCTCCGCTGTTATTGGTTCTGTTTGCGGTTGTCGTCTAGGTTGCCAGAAAACAGCATATTTTAAAGTTTAGCTCTGTATGGATGTCGAAAGACTTATGTGTGAATTGGAGGATCTGACCTTTCACGTGTCTCTGTGGGTGAAGTGGGGGGGGGGGGTGTATTAACCCAAACCCCAGGGCGTTACTCACCAACAGCTGTTGGGCGGGCCTAGCAGTGTCAGCCATGTACCCAGAGTTCAGTTGTTAGCAGGGACACCCACTGCCACCTTGAGCAAAGGCACTTTCTCCTTCAGAAAGCTGCCCAGTTGTGCAGTTGGGGGGAGGAGGGGGTCTACAGTGCCTCGGTGTGAGCCTTCTGTAGAACTCAAGAAAAGAATTCTGACGTTCTGGGCCTCACAGCTGAGTGATCTCAGGCATTTATAAGAAATGGCTGCTTGGGTGTGCATGCATGCGTGTGCGGCTCTTTAATTCTCCACAAGGCAAGTCAGCTCAGCTGTTTGCAGAGAGCCCTCTGCACAGTCAAGAGTAGACACTGAAGTGAAATGTTCATCCTATTTCAAATGTTACAGTCAGTTTTCTTTGAAAACTTTGTGATATAGTGATTACAGCTGTCTGATTTATGTATGGGGGCTCTGCCATCCTACCCCAGTGGTGGAGTAAAAAAAAAAAAAAAGTTGGCTTCTGAATGATGTCAGAAGCATACTTCTGCTATAAAACCAAACCAACGCTGTTGCTGTTAATTTGATCCTGTAATGCCCATCTTGCTATATAGGAGGTATGTTTAAAGGATACTCTAAATAAGAGACTTGTGGGAGGTCTCATGCATTTGGAATTTTCAGATGGAGCTTCAAATTAGATTCTTTTTTTAGATAGGGTTAGGAGCTTCCTGATTTTAATTGTTGGTGTTAAATCCAGAAGGTGGATAGAGCTAGCATTTGGAATGTCTGCATTCTGTGACAATTCTAAAAGCTCTAATTCCCAGCCCCACCCCCTTGCTCAGTGCTGTCCTACATGAATCACTCCCCAGCTACTTATTCACTTCCTTGTAGAGTCTCCTGCAGTGGCCACTTACATAGAACACGTGGCTGTGGCTTTAGGAGTTGACTCATTTAGACAAAATTTTCTTTAATTCAGTGCAACCCCATCTCTGGTGGCCTTAGGAAAAAGATATGTTTGAGACCCACTGAGCTGAGTTCTGATCTTTCCCAGTTTCCTAGTGGTAAGACCTTAAGGAAGTCACCCTAATTCATAGTTTGCAAACTAGAGGCCTCTTGCTGAATTTGCTTTGTGAATTTGACTTGGCCAACACTGGGTTTATAAAAATTTTAATTAGTTACCCTCTGCTGTTGAGTGGATTCCAACTCATAGTGATCAATCCTATAGGTAGAATTGAACTGCCTCATAGAGTTTTCAAGGCTGTAATCTTTATGGAAGGGGATTGCCACATCTTATTCCTTCAGAGTGGCTTGACTGGTAGGTTCAAACAGCTGATCTTTGGGTTGGTAATCTAGTGCTTTACCACTGTACCACCAGGATTCCAATTAGTTGCCAACATCTTAAAAAAAAAAAAAATCAGAGGATTCTGGCATAAATCCAAATTTTTTGCTTCAATGGAAAAATCGAAAGATCTAGCAATTCTGGGCCAGAATTCCTGCCTAGCAACAATTGGCTTGAACTGAACATTCTTTTTTTGGAGCAGTACTTTATGGCACTGGGTTTGGTTTCTGGTGTTTTACAGCATAGTTAGTTCCTAGGTGATAAAAACAATTTATTAACTGATAGGTTCAAACCCACCTACAGGCTCCCCAGAAGAAAGGTCTGGTAAGATTCTGCCTTGGAAAGGTTACAGCCTTGAAAATCCTCTGGAGCCCAGTTCTATCTACTCTGGCACACATGGGGATTGGAGGGTGGGGTACCATGAGTTGGAACCAAACTCCACAGCTACTGGTAGATAGTGGATTTTTGTTCTTTTTCAGATTAACAATGAAACCCATTGGTTTAAATGTATAGAACTTCACCTATAAACCTTGAGCATAGTATTAAAAAATGTAACTAATAGTAAGTGTATCCTGTGTCTCTTTGACTTGGCAGACACTTTGCACACAGAATATATGCATATTGTATATGTGTGTGTCCTTAATGGAAGGGTTGCATGTCTGTACCCTAATTCCAGATCAGAAGTCTTCAGGCATGCTAAATTGGGAACTAATGATAGAAGCCTTAAGTCTTATTTCTATGTCAATTGTAACTCTCTTTTTGTAAGAGCTTAACTTAAACTTCCTCGTGGTGGCAATTGGTAGAGTTGATACCCTGGTTACTGAATTATGAACATTTGGGAAGCCTGCAATCCTAACTATTACACCCCAATTCCATAGAAAAAAATTTCAATACCCACTTTTTAAAAAAAAATAGAACAGAAGGAGAGACTGGAATTGTACCAACTCCCAGGAGTGGCTGCTCTGTATTCTCCTTATCCTGTATTTAAACATCCCTTGGATACTTAAAATGCCTGTCAGAAGGGACCTGGACGGCCTCTGAGGTGGAAGTTGTCTTCCAATACAGAAAACAGACCTTTCAGCCTCTCTGAGAGTGTCCATCACAGGCCAGCTCTTCTAACTAAGGATGTTTCTTCCCCGAGACTAGAGAAACTTTCCAAGTTTTGCTTGCCTAGGTGCCAAGTCTGCCCTGTACCCTTTGCACTCTTTCTTCTTGACTCTGAATTACTGCAAGAACTTTGCAGTCTAGTCTCTGGTTAAAACAGCAGCAACAATGCAAAACAGAAACAGCAGAAAACAAAAAACACTTCAAGCGAGTTGCTGTTGAGTCTCTTTAGACTCATGGCAACCCTGTGTGTGTCTGAGTGGAAATGTGTTCTCGAGGGTTTTCAATAACTGTAATCTCTTGGCTATAGGTTGAGAGGCCTTTTCTTTTGTGGCACCTTTGGCTGGATTTAACTGTCAACCTTTTGGCTAGTAGCTGGGTTGACATCCTTTGTGCCTCTCAGAGACTCCATCTGGTTAAGGAAAATGAACTAGTGCCATCAAAGTTGTGAGAAAGGGACCTACTTCTGTGAAGAGGGAGCAGAGCAAGGTCTTACTTTTATTCCAGACCCTAGACTTAGCTCAGAAGAGGCCTTTGGGCAGCCCATTCATTAGCCTATACAGAGTTTGCTTCTCTGAATGGTAGACAAAGGCCTAGTGCCTTGAACTTCTGCCCATGGGGTAGTCCCTCTGCCCCATTCTTCCTCCCAAATGGCTCTCCAAGGGATCATGTATCATCTGAGATTTATTTACAAGTAAACTGAATGAGGTTTGCATAAGTGTCTCTCAACCCTTTTTTCATGGTCTCTTCCCTAAGGAGAGGTTAGGAGTCCCTGGGTGGAGCAAACAGTGAAGTAGTCAACTACTAATCAAAAGGTTGGCAGTTTAAACCCACCCAGAGACATGTTGGAAGAAAGACCATGAAGATTCGCTTTCAAAAGGTTACGGCTTTGGACATCCTATGGAGCCCAGTTCTGTTCTGAACCACACGGGGTCACCATGGGTCGGAATCAACTGAAGGGCAACAGGTTTGGTGGGTTTTATTGGTAAGAAAATGTTTTAGACTTTTTAAAAAATCAGAAATGCCCTCCCTCTCCTCAATGACATTTTAATACCACAAATCTCCTGCACAGCTGTTTATATATTGTACCCAGGAAAAATCAAACCAA